GTGCTTTAACCCATTGTGCCACCAGGGAGAGCCCCACAAATATTTTCATTGAACACAAGAAGTTCTTAAAAATCAAAGCCATGTCCCTCGGTGATGGGAAACCCACGGGGATCACAATTGAGATGAAAAAAAAAATGTACAAAATGATGTAAAAATTATTATATTATAAAAAGATTTTAAAAATCAACTAAAAAAAATAAAGCCATGTCCTCTGTCATTTTTCCAAACAAATAGAATCAGAGGAAAGTATTAAATTTTTTGAAGGTTGCCTTGGAATCCTGAATAAATTTTGGCACTATCAGGTCTAATATGTCTTGACATATATCAAAACTGAACACAAAAACAGAACTTAGATACTAGGGAGAATGAATCCATCACTATTTTCTTGATGAAAACCAAATGAGACCAGTTAAATGACCAGTACATAGTCTCTCAATCAAGTGTGGTTCAATTTCAAAGAATTTTGCTTCTACAGGGAAGGGGACAATGTTGCCCACAATAACAACATTTTAATGCATTTGGTACAGACATTGAATCACATACCTTCACTACTGAGGTGATATTACAATGGATGAGTTTCTGAAATAAATAATCACAATCATGAATCAGCCAACACATTTGAGAAATTCTCTTAAGAAGTAGTCAGTGCTAAAGAACCATAAAGTGGGCAAAATTGTTTATCTTAGCAGGTCTCCTCACTCATTCAGCCTACAAATTAAGCTCCTAACTGACATTCACTAAGTGTGCTAGAGATGGAAAATGTCTGACACCTGTACAGTGATTCTATCAGAATGTGATCTTGAAATCAAAAGTTTCCTCAAAGTAGTAGGAAGGAACAGAGGCAAAGATTTTCCAAAGGGAGGTGATTAATTTCCTTTCCAAAGGAAGAGGGCTTAGTATCAACGAGTCTGAGAAAAAATAACAGAATAGAAAAGCAAATTGTATAATAAAGGTAGAGCTTCTGGGCTACAAAGAAATTTTTAGATTCAGACAAAACAGGAAGAGGGTTCAACAAAGAAAGAAGCACAAGTACATAAAGAGAAATAAGAAGCAAACAGGGCAGCAGTTTAATGGAGAGATAAGGACTTGTGCCACAAACAGGAAATTTGGAAAACAGGGACCATGGGTGACATGCAAACAAGAAAGGGGTTTGGCAAGGATTTATGGTGACCTTGGAGCCACCTGGGATTGTATGTCACCCTGGTATTCAGGACCATAGGAATACTTGCAGGACCTGGCAATGCTAACCTGTTCAGAATTGATCCGTAACAACAGGCTTCAAAGGTCAGGGCCTGAGGATATGTTCCAAGACTGCTCATGCATAAGAAATTCCCTCCTGCCCAACAAAGGGACCATGGGTCTGGATCAGGCTTGCCGAAACCACAGTCACAGAATTTGTGTCATCAACCCCCTCCCAATGAAAACTGAACAATCATATTCCCCTGGAAGACAATGAAAGCCAAAACTGGCCCTCTCCAACAGCTACAAATTTGTTACCTCCCTCATAAAGCTGAGCTCAGAGTCCTAAAGAATCAGACAGTGGAAAGGTAAGTTTTGACGTGCAGAGAAAGGGACAATGTCCTCATCTAAGAGATGATTGTGAAAACCAATGCTCTTGACTGGTACTATGGTGGAAAGAAAGATGGCCTTCCAGACACCTGCTGGAATGCAAAATACTCCCATTGCCCTGCCCTGCCCTACACCCCAGCCTTAGTAATGACCCAGCCAGGGGGCCCAGGACCTAGGTGAGGGGAACCCATCCACAAAAAGCACAGGCCTACCTCAATGTCATCTGCTGTAGTAAGGAAAAGGCTTGGGAGGAGATTTGGAAGCATTCCAACATTGTTGACTGAGAGGAAGAGGTAAAAAAAAAAAATGTCAGAAGAGTTTACAGTAAAATTTATGCAAAATTGTTCATAGTCACCCTAGAATCTTTTTTTGGGAACTCTTTCTAAGGAAACACATACAAACGTATTTATAAATGAAGCCATTCATTGCAACATGATTTGATAGCAGTGAGGACATTGGAAGGAAAATAAAGGAAGCACTTGAAATTAATGACATGGAAGAATGCACCACAGCTGCTGAAAGCTACAGCCATCTAGAAGCTTAAAGATAAAAGAAGCCATTGGTGAGATATGTCTTTTTTTTTTTTTTTTATGTTTAAAAATAGTCCTCTAATTCTAGTTTGGAAAAGATGGCTATAAATGTATTTGAAAGATATATACCAAAATACTGTCTCAACTTACTGTGATTTTAAGTAATTTGTAGTTCTTTAATGGGCTCATCTATTCTTTCCAGTTTTTCTGCAATAATGTTTAAAATTTTTATTGCAAAAAATGCAATATTTCTTTTAATTCATCAGAAGTTAGAAAACAAATTTTACTTCCATCTTTGTATGAGATAGTATGTTGTGTACATGGTAACAAAATAGCTAGTTTATAAATCACAGGGAAAAAATTGTTTTCTGATTCAGATTCAGCTTTCTAATAACAACACTATTTCATAAATCGATCAAAGCAATGTTTGTTTGCTAAGCTAATTCTTTTGAACCAATATTTCTAAGAATCTCTTCCTTTCAGTATCAGTTTGGTAAAAACAACTTAATTTTAATATTAGAAAATATAGTTGGAAAGGTTGATGTATGAATGTAGCAAAATATATTTTTGCTATATTCCAAAGTCAGTTTCTTTAGTAATGCCTCTTGAAGATTTAAATTTTAATATAGCAGTTTAAAATACTGTCACGAGTTAAGCTCAAACCACCGTGAAATAGTTGTGTGTCATTAAGATAATTATAAAAAGCTTTGCATTTTGCGATTTACTTACCTAAAATTCCAATTTCTAAACCTTCAAGTTTTTCCTTAATATGCTCATAGATGTCATCTTTGGTAAAATCAGCTTGTATAACCTTCACACTTCTCCCTGTTGTCCACTCTGTGGTACAGACATCAGTTATTACTTAATAACAGCAGTCTAAGCCTCCCCTTCCCTTGATGTCCCTATACCATGTGAACAGATATTTAAGAGAATAGTTGTATTACTCCAATTAGAAATAAGAAATAGCCATGGGTGTGTTTAAAGATTTGTGAATGCTGGTTTGCTGGTTTGTTTCTAAGTGTCACTTCAGTGGTAAATATATGCACTTCAGCAGATTTAATGCAGATTTTCTCAAAGTGGGGTCCAGATCAAAGCATCAGCATCTCAGGTAATTTTTAGAAACACAGGGTCTTGGGCTCTGCCCCCTGCCCCCTAAATAGAAACCCTAAAATCTGTTTTTGTAAGTACTCCACCCAGGTATATGCTCAAGTTTGAATTCTGGATTAAGGGGCTGTCAGATCAATCAGATGCTGCCTCTGCTTGGTGATCAGGCTTCCTCCACACGGAGGACAGCAACCCTATGAATTTGTCCAACACATTAATGTTCACAGACTTTATCCACACAACAGATTCTTTTATTCCTCTCTGCAGCTTTGTAAAGCAGATATTATTCTTTTTCAGAGGGTCTCAGAAATTAACTTGCTTGCCCAAGGGCACCCCCACTGCTCCCTCCAAATCAACACTCTTTCCACCAGTCCTTGGGAACCAGCCTTGAACAGCAGCTTGCAGATAGAGAAGTGACAGGCAGATTTTACCACTTGCTACATGCTCACTTTTGGAATTATGCCCATTGTTTCTGGAGCAAGCAATCTTGGGCTTCATTCTTGGGCTTCATTTGCTTCACATTGCAATGGAAACAATGAAGAAAGTCCTAATCATGGTCGAAGTTACTTTTGATATCCAGGCAGAACAAAAGCATGATTCAATGATTCATGGACACTAAACCATGTCCTCCTCAAATCACACTCCCATAACTGTCTCTTCCAACATCTCCCCCAGGGACATGGGACTCTTACCCAGGCCACTTGTTATGGACTTTATAAGTCTTCATAATTTAAGACTCATTCTTTTGAGTTAAGAAGTCTATTCATGACTAAATTAATAATTATCAAAATTAAGTTCTCAAAAGGAATATGATGATCATTATCTGTAATGAAGTTTTCAGAGAAGAGCGGAATAATACAACATTCTTGTAGAAATGCTGCCTACTAAGGCTGTACAGTGTAACCTTCACCACCACACATCCTGGGTCAAAATTTTCTTAAACTGATGACCAGCCCTGTGCATCATCCCTCATCTCCTTGGAAAGAGTGAAGTATGAAAAGGAAAGAAAGTGAAATCCCAAACACAAATTCTACTTTTGAAGGGAGTGCTAGAAGCAATCGGATCATGGGGGCCTCTGGATGAGGGAGCTAATTGTAGACATGAAAGCAGCAGACCAAAGCAGAAATTGGACCTCTGTGTGTGTATCTGTTTCCGCTTCACCTAACCCAGAGGATCACTGGTGAGTCAAAGCCCAATTAGTGCTCTGCACGCAACTTTAAGCTGGGCTTCCTGCAGGACATGTGGCCCCAGTTCCAGAGAGCACTCGCTGATGGTGGCAGATGTGACCACAGGCAGGACAGGAACAGACACAGCTAGTGGGCACTACACACTTCTCCTTTATTCCTTGGGGTCACTTACCTATCTCTGCAGCAATAGCCTGTAGTTTGCTCAGCGTTCGGCTGATAAGCACAACGTTGAGTCCTTGTCTTGCTAACTGGATGGGAAGTGGAAAAAGCAAAAAAAAAAAGAAAAAAGGTAAGTAGACAGGGAAGCCTTGCTTTAAAAGTGAACTACAACCTATGTGACTGTAGGAAGTATGCTTGTATGCTTATTTCTCTTGATTTTAAAGGTATAGAAAGTGACATTTTTGTTATGATCCAAACCACACAGTGCACCAGGCTAAATGATATATATAAAACTAGTTTATTTGTAGATATATATCATATGTCAGATCTATTATAATCTGAATGCCCATTTATTTGAAGAGCTTGGGGTCAGATGTATTTTAGAATTCAGAATTTGAAGGATATTATACTGTAATTTTTGTCATGGAGTCTACAGAATACTCCCCCAATAAAAACAGTTCTGCAAGAAATGTTGAGGTGCATCTCATTTACAAAGATGTTCTTGTGCTTCACTTAGCTGGAGCATGGACATAACCCTGAGGCCTTGCTCTGTTTTCTGGCACCACAGGACAGAAAGTAGAATAAGAGCTAGAGAGTAAACAGATGGAATGCTTCCTGGAGATCAGCAAGATCATGACTTCAGGATGGACACTGCCTAGGCTCAGGGTTGCCAAACAAAGCACACAAAGTCATATGCACTAAGAGCCACTGGGGTCCCCCAATTCCAGTGCTGGAAGATAACAGACAGACCAAGACTCCTCCTAGAAATGCTAATGAGACAAGTTACAGCTTTTCCTGAAGCCAAAACTGAAAAAGCAGAATTCATGTAAGCAAGAGACTGATGATATTGAATTAGTGACAAAGGGCCCAGTTCATTGAAATAACTTTCAATGGTTTTAATTAAATGATTTACCATTTCTTTTTTTTTTTTTCAGTCATGGCAGAGAAGATACACATAACATGTCTTTCTTAATGAAATAAGAAATGTTTTCACAGATCAGCCTAAGCTGATCTTCTCTGTTCTGTTCCACTTTCAGTGTATGTGCAGCCAAAGTGCACTACACCATTATTTTAGTGAAGAATAAATATTAGAGAAAGCACACAAGAAACTGAATTAAAGGGTGTAATATATGGTCTCTAATTGCCAATAATTCAATCTTCAAGTCAATGATCTCAGATCAGCCTAAAAGATGTCAATGAGAAACATCAGTTTCCACCAAAACTATCAGATTAAAAACCTCTGAGTTGATAATTGCCCAAAAACAGATGACGGTATCAAGAAGATGTGGTATATATAAACAATGGAATATTTACTCAGCAATCAAAAAAGATAAACTCATGCCATTTGCAGAAACCTGGATAGAACTGAGAAAGATCATGCTTAGTGAAATAAGCCAGAAATAAAAAGAAAAATACTAGATGGTTTCACTCATAGCAGGAGTGTAAGAGATCAGGAAAAAATAAAATTAAATATGTATATATAGTAGTTGTAATAAAATAAAAAAGAACATCAAATAACAACTATAAACCAGAGACATTCTATGGGGAAGGAAAGAGAAACAAGATCAAAACTGGGGCGGGGAGAGCACACAGGACTATGATGATAGCACATGGGTGAAGTGGTGGTAAGAAATCCGCAGGGATTACAACCGAGATGAAAAAATGTACAAAATGAAGGATAATGTAAAAAAAATTATATAAAATAATAAAAGAAACCTCTGGGTTGAAGCATCTGCATTGATATCTTTTTAAATTTGTTTGTTTAATTATACTACTAAATATAAAAATGCATTTCCATTGTCGAAGACATCCCCTGCACCCCTGCAGTCCCACTCACCTCCTCATCCCAGGTGTCTTAAGTTTATTGGGGCTTTGGACGTGTTCCTTATCGTCACATGTATACATAAGTACACAGAGATAAAATTTGTTTTGTGGGTTTTCTTTCCTTTCACCCTCTATAAAGGACATTATAAGTATTATCTTTTTACTTTCATGTGTATCACATTTCTACGAATCATTTATTTCCACCTTTGTCCACGTAGAACCACTTTATTCTTTTACATTGCTTCATTGTTTTCTATAGCTCATTTTTGGATGAGCATTTATGTTGTTTCCATGTTTTCCACTTACCAATATTTCCACCATGAAGAGCTTTGTATCTAGAGCTTTTTGCACATAAAAGAGCATGAACTCCCAGAGTACATGGTCAAGAAGTGGAATTGTTGTCAAAGGGTACATACTTTTTAAAATTTTAATAGTACTGGCAAATGTATTCTTAAGACTGCACTAAAAATAAAGCTATAACTATTTCCTCATACTCTGGTCCGTATTTGATATTAGCAAGCTTTTTTACTTTTTCTAATTTAATGATTAAGCTATTATATACCCATATTGTTTTACTTTGTGTTTTTCAACTATCAGTGGGATTCTGCATCTTTTCGTATGTTTGTGAGTTACTAGGATATATCCTTCATCCATCTATTGGGTTATGCAACATTTTCTTACAACTGCATATGATTTTCTGTTTCTATATATTCTGGGTGTTGATTATTTGTCTTCTATATGTGTGTCAAGTATTTTCTCCTTTGCTTTTGGTGTCCTTGCCATACATTACATATATTATCAAATTTGTGAAAATTTTCCCTATGGTTTTGAAAATTTTCCTTTATGATTTTTTTCAAACTGTAGGGTAATAAACACATTTTCCTATAACTCTTTATAGTTGGTTTATTTTGTTGTTTAATTTTGAGAATAGTGTGTTTAAAATCATCCAGCATTGTATTTTTTTATACTGGTGACCGGTTGTCTCAAGAATATTTTTCTATTTGTCCAGTCTTCCCTGATTTGAAATGTTAACCTAGTCATATGTCATAGCTATAGACCTACCTGTATTATTTCACTTGTTCCTTTCTGTAACAACTGCCACTCCATAATCTTATAGTCAATTTTGATATCCACAGTCTGATAAAGTCCCTACCATTTATATTCACTTTCAAAATGTTTTTACTTTACCTTCTTACTTTAAACTTCCAAATAAATGATAAAATTTCAAGTTGAGTATTATATTGAAGTTAGACATTTGGGGGGAAGTTACATCTGGAAGCAATCAGTTGTTTTATCTATAAATATGAGATCTATTCAAATCTCCTGTGTTTAAGAATTTCTTTCATATAAATTGTGGATATTTCTTGTTAGTTTCCATGAGTAAGATAACATTAGATGCTGTAATAAATAACTCTAAAAACTTAGTTTATTAAAAATAAAACTGAAACTGACTTAACACCATGAAGAACAGGGAGTGGTTGTTTGGTTGGTTTTCTGTGTTTGTTGTTGTTTTCTTATATAATAGACACTAACCCATACATCAGTTCAAGGCCCATGGCTGAGAAAAGCTTCTCCATCATTAGCACAGTGTTTCTAAGATTGCCAAAGGAAATGATACCCAGTTAGTGTAAGGACTGAAAGAGTAGAATGGCCCTCCCTGGTGATCAATGGGTTAGGACACAGCACTGCAAGCCAGCGGCAGTCACTTCGGTGCAAGTTTGAGCCCCAGCCCGGAGGAGACCCACATGGCGCGGCAGACCTCTCCTGACCCTCCCAGCAGTGTACTTCATCAGTTTGCCTGTTCTGCTCCCCACTCTGTGTCTGGTGAACCCTCTCTCCACCCCTGCACCTCTGGCCTGTATGCATAAATAAATAAATAAATCTTTAAAAAAAAAAAAAGGGAAGAAAGAAAGAGAGAAGACACATCCCCTTCCTTAACCACTTTGACCCTGAAGTGACACACATGATTTCTGTTCCATTTCATTGGCAAAATTAGTTATACTCTTCCACCTAAATGTCAAGGAGTCTGCAAAATGCTTGGGCTGAACAATCATTTACTAGCTACTCTCTATACCATGGAAGAAAGATGAGGGGTCTGGTAGGTGTTTAACTATGCCTGCTGCCCATAGCTTACATTGAGTGGTTTCCCTCATGAACTGAATTATTATGGAAAGAAGAAAATCTAAAATTAAATACTGAGGTTCAGTTCCCGCCTAAGTACTGATAATGTGATTCTTGAGACCCCAGTGGATTCCTCACTCATATAAAAAAATATATAATATGATAAAGAGAGTCACAATTAAGAGAGATTTAGGCAGATTTTCTGGGTTCTACCTTCTGCCTAGCTGTGACCCCAAACCCAAGGGCAGGTGAAGGAGGAGGAGCAAGTCAAGGGACAGAGTGTCACCCCATCTTGTTGTATGTTCTGTATACAATATGATTTCCAATTTATTTCCCATACCTTCTTCATTGTCTGAATTGGTTAATACAGAATGGGCACTTCTGTGTGACCCTGAAAACCCAACATTTTTTTTAAACTTATTTATTTATGCTTCAGAACTGGGGTACAGGC